CTCTTCAGCTATCTTCTTGGCCATCTTAGTGGCATCGGCTTGCGTCTTGTCGGACTCCAACATTGTTTCTTCTCACGCAGTGAAGTGCTAAAAGAAGACCTCACTCTGATACCGATTGAAAAGACCTAAACAATGCCTAGATGGGGGATGAATAGGCGTATCTAAAAAATTCTACACAAAACTCAAAGTCACTTGTCAGCAACTGTCGAAAGTCCCAACAGTTTGGGTCGAAACTCCCGACAACGTCAGAAGTTCTGACGCAAACTGTTAGAAGTCCCGACGCCTACGGAAAATGTACTACAAGTGCTAAAATAAATTTTGTGACTTCGATAACTTACAACCCCACTTCCTAGTGGTAAGGTAACGCGTTGGGGTTGCTCCTTTGACGCCGAAAGGTCACCACTCCATAGATCGAGTCCAAACCATAAGAAAATCTTTGGGGAGGAAAAGACACAAGAATAAAAGTGATAGCACAAGTCTCAACAACAACAAACACGTGGGACACAAGGATTTATCCCGAGGTTCGGCAACCCCACAAAGGAGCTCCTATGTCCTCGTTGTTGAGGTGACCACAAAGGTTGGAGTCTCTTTCACCTCCTTGCCTCTCTCAAAACAACCACAAAGGTCACTCAAGGTTTCCACTAAGAAATCAAGGGTAATACAAACTTCCCAAGCCTCTTCCACAAGATGGAAGCTCTTGGGTGACGCCTAGTTGGCTAGGGGCAAAGCCCCAACAGTGATAGATGTAAATCCAACCGGCTTGACAAAGAAATCGAGTGCTCAAGCTTGCCAAAATGATGCTCTCACTCAATCCACTCTCATTTCACTCAAAACCCTAGGGGGTCAAAGATTGGAGCAAAGGGGAGATGAGAGGGGAGTCTTGAATGCTTGAGAGCTATTTTGGCCATGAGTAGTTTGTAATGAATGAGTAACGGTTAGAAGAGAGGAGAGAGCTATTTATACTCAAGGTAGAAATCCAACCGTTCAAATCTACGTTGGAAGTTCTTATTCAGATCTTGGGACTTCTGACCTATAAAGAAAACAATGTTCATGCAAGGTCAAAGTCATTACGAACACGTCAACGTTAGAACTCCCGGTGTACGTCGGGACTTCTGATGGTCGGGACTCCCGACGTATGTCAAGACTTCCGACGGGCGCTGTCAGCCAACTAGCTAAGTCTAGGTGTCGGGACTCCCAACTTGGGTCGGGACTTCCGATGGCCGTAGTCACCGCGTAGCCTAAGTGACTGGGCGTCAGGACTTCCGACGTGAGTCGTGACTTCCGACGATAGGGAGTTCCGGCTTATGTCAGGACTTTCGACACCAAAAGTCTTCAAAAACTATTCTACATTCTCATGAAGTGCTAGAGTGTCTCTCTTTGATTTCAATTTTATACTTGAGCACTCTATCTTTCTTAGACCAATTAAGTTTGCATCCCTCTTTATAGTACGACATACCTAAACTCAAAAGCATAAAATGTAAACTTGAAGATCCGCTTTGAGTTCGACGTCTTTTTCAACTTCAAGAATTGAGGGACACCATTTTATCTTTATCAACTCTTTAAATCTTTCATGGGACTAATTGTTGAGACATATCTCATTAAGATCACATTAGTCCCTAATTTGAATGTCATCAATACACCAAAAACCCAAATAGGGGGTAAATGCACTTTCATGAAGACACGCATGCAAATCCTACGCCTATGAGCATCTTCGAAGACATGGCCGACAATTCCTCAAGATTAATGAAGTCACCACAAGTGCCTTGTTGTCGACAGAAACGTCACCTACCACTAAAAGCATAAACGCCATTAAATCCTAGAATATTTGCTCCCATAAGGAGTCGAACCTAGGACCTGAGGTGCTACTGAGGCACTTGTAACCACTAGCATGCATACAATTATACCCTTCTTTATATATACCTCTTGCCTGAGGTGCAAATACCCTTGCGGATTAACTCCAGAAAACTAACATTATTCACCGCCAATGCATGTCTTCGACTCTTGCTCCGTCAGAGCATTGTCCTCCAATCATATATAATGATAGGCTCTGAGCATTGAAAATGCAACATGATCCAATGCCATTGGAAGTTCCTAGGACACATCGGACACATTGAAAGAGTATCAGATGACTTGTTGTCAAAGATGATCAAGGAACCATCAATCTGGAACAACAAATACTTGCCATACAAAGAATCCATCGAGCAAGTGACACAAAGATGCAAACGAGGAACACAATCCTCCGCACCAATCACATCCACCTTGCAAAAACCAAAACGACATGAGGCATGCTAGGCTGAAAGCCAAGATGGGCATTCACATTGGAATTGTCTGCAAGAAACAAGTTCCAACATGGAATCGATGAAGGCGGTAACCTCTAGTAGCCCATAGGGCATAACTTATTCAATCTAAACCCTAACTGCTATGACAAGATTGGACGTCAACCTCACAACCAGCAAGGTTGTCGCATGGGATGGAGGGGGACCAAGGGTGGTAGTGCATGAGGACCTAGGGTGACAATCATAGAGAAGGGGAGGAGATGATGCTGGTAGAACAAGATTAGCTATAAGGATCGAATGGCTAGGGGGTTTGAATTGAGATCTAAAATACGTAAAACAACAATCTTAGGTTTGTGAACTCTAAACATCCAAAGCACCTTGGCACCTAAGTTTTTGACAAAAACATACTATGAATTCCTTAGGGCCACAATCCTACACAAGTCCTTAGCAAGATAACTAGAGGAACATGCTAACCAAGTCTATTATGAACTTCACACACTTTTTTATACAACCTATGAGATAGACTACTAAAGTGGAGCTCATGATTACACTAAGATAGCACACTTGCTAAACAATCCTAGTCACAAGAGAACTTGCACACAAAAAGCTAGAGCAAGAAGTAATGTAAGAAACCTAAAGAGGCAAAGAGGCAACATAATTTTTCCCATGGTCTCGGGTTATTGCCACAAAGTCCTACTCCACGTTGGAGCACCTAAGTCACAAGTACTTGATTAATCTCCTCTCAACTAGTGAATATCTGTTTGCCACTCTGGAATGGTGAAGAGGCTCCTAGCCATTGGAAAAAAGTTGACAAACGCAGACATTAACGGATGATCCGCTAACCTCTAGCTATGCTAGATCATACAATGGCGCTGTGCTAGCTGATTTCGCTAGTAGCTAGTTGGGAATTTACCGAAATATTCCCGCCATATCCAAATGTTCTCGCGTCAACTCTTTCAAGTTGGATGCCTTGGCCCCCCTTAATAGCACGACGAAAGGAAAAACAAAACCCTAATAGTCTTATCAATCATCCTTTGCACCATAAGTCGATTAATGACCAAGTCTTGGGATCAAGACACTTGTGGCCATTCACATTGCAACTAACTCAATTGCATTAACTTATGCAAAACATATGTTAGTCTCGTTAATCACTAACACCTCATAAACACTACATTGGGGGTCTAGATGTGTCAGTAGTCTTGTTGCTCCCATAGCTGGAGGAAGACACCATGCACTCATACACTTTGTAAATATAAGTCTACTACAACATTGACACAATGCACATGGTTTAGATACTATGAAAATATTTTTATTATAAATCTAGTAATGTTGATTTGATATTGTCGATCCATAAAAAGTTTTAGATATCTATAATCTACTATAATCTACAATAAAAACGTTTGATTTAGAATAAATCTAGAAGATTTATATTTCTGATGACTTTACGAATGAAGTATAGTTGGCTTGATTTATTCTCTCAAACCATTTTAGTTGGATTGTCTTATCCGTCTTGAGGTACATTGTTAAAGTATGGTGACAAACTAAACATTGAATAGTAGTTCTAGGGCTCTGTTTGGATCGACTAAAATAAGTTCCTAGCTACTTAAAAAAGTTTTAGCTTATCAAAAAGTCCAGCTTATAGTAGTCTAATTTGAACTGTTTGACCATCCAGCTTATAAAAATCTAATTGCAGGTTCCCTCCAGCTATTACAACTTATAAAAAGTTGTGCTGATTTAAACGGGGCCTGTTTTTTTAGTGACAGAGTATATAATGAGATCCAAAATTTATACGAAAATAGTGATTAAAAATATTATTGTATCTTGTACATAGTGTTCCATGTTCTCTTTCCTACAAATTGTGTTAGGTCGACTTGTAAGTGGAGATAAAAAAAGATAAATCTAAATATGGGTATGTTTTACCATGTGAAACAATTTTTGAGAGTAAATTGAGATGGAAATTTGTTGACATACAAATTGGATTAGAAACTTCGATAATAAATTAAACTTTTTTCAAAGAAATAATACTAGAATCCAGATTTAATCCTGTTGCCTAAGAAAAGACACGTTTAAAAAAACGGTGCAAAATGCTTATCTTTTTTTCCCGAACTTCGATAGACCCTAAAACTCTAGTGGTTAGTAAAATTTAGGGTGTAATTCCGCATCTTATTTATGCCTAAATTGTATTCTAGGCTAGTAGCATAAAGAGGAATGGGTCGTCAGGTCGTGGCTTGATCTCTTCAAGTTTCTACTGAATCAAAGCAAAAGTCAGCGACTCAGCTTAACCAGGCTATGTTCGTTTAAACTTATCAACTGACTTATCAACTAAAATCTATAGTATTTTTCTCTTCCAATAAAACAGCTTCTGCCGGCAAAGCCAAACGAAGCCTGGTCAACAGAGGGGACGCCGATATGCCATGCATACAGTTCGTGGAGCGGCATAGGTATAGCCAGTTTAACAAAAAGGAAATGGCATTACTTGATGTTAAAACCAATCAAAGAATATCGATTAACGGATCAAGTACAGGTTCTTTGCTTTAGATCTGTACAAAGCATGTATTTTGGATAGCCTAGCTGCATGCCCCTTCGACACCTAGGCGAAAGCCATCAACAAAATGCACCAAAAGAACCAAAAAAAAAAATTGTTCGCAAAACACTAGAAATAAGTCATCGACGAAACCACAACAACACAGCGAGGAGCGGGCTGCCTGCGTGCATGATCAGAATTCAGAAGAGAACCCACTTGGCCGCGGCGGTCCTCTCCTCGAGCGTCTTGCCGCGCGCGGCCATCGAGCACCCTTGGTCCTTCTTCCCTCCTCCCCGCGTCGCGTGCAGCAGCTTGGCCCAGAAGCCCGTGGCCGTGGTCCTCCTCCTCTGCTCCCTCCTCGCCCGGAGGAACGCGGCCACGGCGTCGGCGTCCCCGACGACCCGCTCGTGCCGCATCAGCAGCGACACCCGCGCCGCGCGCCTCATCTCGTCGTGGAACGCCGGCTCGTCGCCGCCCGGGCTGGCACACTCCGACGACGCCGCGCTGGAGCCCTCCGAGGAGTAGGCCGTGGAGGCCTCCGAGCAGCAGGAGGACGCCTCCTCGTGGTATCTGCTGTACCCCTCCGCCTCCTCGCCGCGCACGACGGAGGGCAGCGACGCCGAGAGGGACAGGTGGGACAGGCGGTCCCGCAGGCAGGACGCGCAGACGCCCGCCCCCTGCTGCCGGTGCCGCCGGCACCGCGCGCCCTCCGCCTTGCCCGACTTGGCCTTGTCCTTGTTGTTGCCCATCACCATGCCGCCGAAACCGAACCGCCAGCCAGCTCGCCGACAGGACCGGAAACGCTACCACCACTTCTCGTGTAAAAAACCCAGCATTCACCTGTCGCCGTGTGTGGGCGCGCTCGTGTGCTGCAATATATATATAGTAGTACGTGAGTCAGATCAGGTCAGGCGGTGTGGGTGCGGACTGCGTAGCGGGGGGGAGGGGAGCTTCGCGGATGCTGCAGCTGCACGCGAGCTGTGGAGGAGTTGCGATGCGGTTGGACTTTTTGAGGTGGCCTGGCTGGCCGTGCGTAGGCGAGGCGCGGGGGCAGCGGAGGAGCCTGGCTGGGTCCGGGCTGGCGGCGTGTGCGCGCGGTCGGGGACAGCAGGGCCGGGCTGTGCTCTCGTGCCGTCGTGCGGTACGGACTACTACTAGGGACAACTACGGAGCAGAAGAGTAGTACTAGGCATGCACGGCGTTTGATCGGGCACGGGGTTTTTTAGTGGGTCGATCGGGGTTTTTTCTCAGCGTTTTCGCGGCCTTTTCTCTGGCTTTTCGTAAAGGGATCTTTTTGGAAGCTTCCGATCCTGGGTGGATCTGCGATGACATGCGTGGTGGTTCGTTAGCTCCACGGCGGGGAATTTCACTTCAGTCTCTCTCGCGCTTGTGTTGGGTTTGTCTAGGGGTTGCTTTTGTATGACTACTGCTGGTGATGGGTCTGGTGATCGCCATCCATGAGACTTTCTTTACTGTGCGTATGTGTGTTGGTGCGCCTGCCGTCGGGAAGTCCGGAACTGTTGATAGGTGATGGAGACAGACAGAGAGAGAGCTTTGTTGATGGATGGGACACATAGGTTATGGGCTTTCCTAAATGGAAAGAAAAATGGAGGTACATAACCATGTTTTTACTTTTGTGATGTCCCCCTATCCCATGTAAGCAGGAGCTCTCTTGAGTTTTGTTCAGAAGGAAAATTAATTAACCATTTTATGCTCCTGGAATTTGTCTTCTTAATGTATCAAGCTAAATTCTGTCAACTAGGTTGACGTTACTTTTTTTTTTGCTGTGCATAAACTAGGTTGACGTTACTGCAAACACAGAGATCCCATCTCCATCAGCCACAGGCGCACAGTGAGCTCGCGCTGTTGCGAAGCAGCTGCGAAAACGGCGGGAATGCGTCCAGCCGTGCTCACGTGAAGAGGGATCTGATGTTTTCTGTAGAATCCGGGCGTCTGAATCAGGTCAACGAAACCACTTGAACATGCCAAGATGGATTGACGTTTGACGGCTTCCTGGTTCGTGGTTCCACGGCGGCGGAAAATGAGGCCCTTGCTTCTGTCTGCGCTAGACCGAGTCCGAAACCTCCGCAGTTGGTCTAACCTTGCTGTCTCTGTTTTGAAGATTTTCTACTAGGGAAAGTTCATAGCCATAGCCCTAGGCTGGTCTAACGAGACATGAAACTTCCTGGCATGGTTTCGACGGCAAGCAAGCAAGCTCGGTGCACGATGCGGCCTTCGCTACGACTTCCATGAAACTTTGCTCCGACTTTCAAATAGGGCAGGCAAAAACAAATTTTGGCACCAGACGTGGGGAGTGCCGAGTGCAGAATGCGAACTTGGTAATTCGCACGAAAGTCAGCACCAGCGGACGCGATCTCGAATAGTTTTGGTGTTATATATGGCGAGGGGACCAGCGTAAACAATCCGTTTTACTAACGCGGTGGCCGGTTTTGCCTCGCCGCCGTGCACGCCACGCGCGCAACCGGCCGCCGCCCGCGCGCGGGGCGCGAGATGAACAGCAGGGGAGTGGGGCACGTGCGCAGTGCGGGGTCCCCGAGCCAGGGGCGGCGGCGGCGTGGTGGCTGGCGACCTGGCGTACGGCAGATCCGTGTCCAGTTGTCCTTGCGCTCACCAGCACATGGATGACGCTTCCTCGTCGGCCGAGACGCGGACGCGCCCAAGTCTGAATCGGCCACCGTTGTGTTTTGCGCTGCTTTATCTCGGGCGACGCCCCCCGTCGGTGCCGCCGTGGCGGTGCGACCTGATTTGGCACCGGCACCGCCTGGGATTCTCGTACGCCGTCGTAAACTCGCTGTCAGAACCTACTCAACCTGTTTCCACGGGACCGACCCTCGCCATAATGCACCGGACTTGCACCGCCGCGCAGTGTACTAGTTTCATGTTCAGATAGCGCTTTCTACAGACCACGGAGTCACAGGCAAGGCAAGCAGTCACATTCTCCGTACTGCTGTACACCTGTATTACGTGCAGGTGCAACCACCTTCAAGGCTTCAAGGGAGGTGTTGACAACAAAAAATATTCATTTTGTGAAGTTGTCAAAATGTGAAATGGACTTTACCATTGCGTTCCTCTCGTCGAGACGGTCAAAAAACATATATGGAACGTCTAATTCGAAGTCTGGATGAAGAAGTTATGCTCTTGAAAAGATGCTTCGTTGTCGGGAGTTCCAACCTAAGTCGGGACTTCCGACCGTCGGAAGTTCCGACGTGTGTGTCGGAACTTCTGGAAAGCCTGAAGAAATCTGCTCCGGTGTCTGGGGTCATCCCTACGTCGGGAGTTCCGACCCAAGTCGAGACTTCCGACATACCTAACAGAAATCCTGTTCGGATCTGGCATTTTGGTTTCCGATCCAAACTGTTCCAAACTCGTAGGAAACTTAGAAAATAAGGCTTGGAAAGATTTTCTACTGGGAGAAGACCACCCCCTCTATATATATAAGAGGATCATGGCCGATTGAGTTCTCATCTATCTAATCGTCATACAAACCAATCTATCCACTCCTTATGCCCTAATTCCCCTCTCTCAACCCCTCTTGCTATTCGTTGAGTTTCTCGGTGAGATTCAGCGGCATCCTAGGCGGCCTTGCTGGTCCTAGGAGATCCTCCACGTGCTCCTCCCTGACGGGTCTTCCCGGGAGAAGTTCGGGCGCTTTTCTAGCTAAGAACATGCTCTACATCGGTCTCATCGGTCTTTAGATTGGTTTGATCGATTACGCCGCGTTCTTGCTGCGTTGCAGGTTGTGTGAAACCTCTTTGGGCGTCCAAGGCCCTGCTGGTGTGTTGGTTTGGGGTCATCCTCAACATCAACATACTTTTTGGCGACTCCGCTGGGGAAAGCGAAGCGAATCAAGAATCATTCTACTAGCAACATGGGAGGCAACGATGGTGCTGCCACCGACAAGGGTGACAAGACCAGCCCCTTCAATGAGGCTAACATGATCTTTCCTCAATCCATGGATGAGCTTCCAGATGAGTTGCGCCAGAAGCTTCAGGCCAAGCTCGATGCCGATGTCAATGCTTTCTTAGAGAGTTGCATCAAGAATCGGCACGACAAGGTCACTCAGTTCCGTGAACCCTCCTACGGCGATGCTACCGCTTCCGAATCTTCAGGCGCGGAGGCGAAGGGCAACGAAAAAGCTAAGTATGACGAGGAGGTAAATACTGATGCTTATCCTACTCATGCCAATTTTGCTCAGATGTTGATAGATGAAAGAAAATTGCATAGTAATAACCTTCAGCATCTTTCTAATCTACTTCAAGCACGTATGGATAAGTCAGAGGGCAAGGCAACCGATTGTGATCAATCGGGTGCCATGCAGCAACCTCAATTCGGTATGCCTTTGAATTTTTATGAAAATCAAACCTCTCATGCTTCCGCTAGCCAATTTCAATCGGCCCCTTCGGCATCTGAAACCGATAAGGCCGGTCAACCTGGTGCTAGCACATCTACACGTACAGGTGTTGGTGCACAAAGTTCGGGTCGAGCTCTTCGAACCGATTATGGAGCATCAACAAATAGAGCTTCAGCGGGGCATAATGTTTTACCAAACCCACCGAAGTCACCTAGTCAAATTACTACATTTAATGTTACTCCTAGTGCTCCTACTACCGATTTTGATGATGCTTTGAATCGGTTTAAGGATGAATTGGCTAAATCTCTTGAGAGTAGTTTAGGAGTGCAACTTAAATCTAGTAGTAATACTTATCAAAAGCCGTACCCTTCTACTTATGATTTCATGAAAGCACCTGATGGGTGGAGGGTACCTAACTTTCAGAAATTTAGTGGTGATGATAGTAAATCAACCATGTAACATATTAGCATGTTTCTTGCACAATTGGGTGAAGCTAGTGCTTATGATTTTATGAAAGTTCGTAATTTTCCTTTATCTCTTACTGGCACAGCTTTTGCATGGTTTACTTTATTACCATCTTGTTCTATTGGTTCATGGGCTGAATTAGAAGAGAAATTTTATAATCACTTTTATAGCGGTGCTCATGAAACAAGATTGTCTCATCTTGCATCGGTTCGTCAAGGGCGTGATGAGTCCGTCCATGATTTTTTCAAACGATTTAGAGAGATTAAAAACCGATGTTTCCATTTAAATATTTCTAAAAGAGATTTAACTGATTTATGCTTTGCTGATTTACGTTCTAGTATTAGAGAAAAGCTTGAGCATTATGAGTTTCACAATGTTAATCAACTTATGCAAAAGGCCGTTTCAATTGAATCGCGCTTTAAAGAGTCTTGTGATGCTTATAAATCTCATCGTCAGAATGTGCATTTTGTTGGTGATTGTTCCGATGATTCTGATGATGATAATAAATAATGTTTAGCTACTGAAATTAAATGGCCAGCAGAGAATAAATTGGTTACTTGTCCTTCTCTCAAGCCGATTCATAAAAATCGGAATGAGGAAATGAAATTTACTTTTGATTTCTCTAAATGTGACCGAATCTTTGATGAATTGTTGAAATTCGGTTATATTAGAATCAATTATACATTACCTTCAGCTGATGAATTAAAGAGAAGGGCTTATTGTAAATATCACAATTCTTTTTCTCATGCCACTAATGATTGCAATGTTTTTCGTCGGCAGGTCCAATCGGCCCTTAATGAGGGACGATTGAGTCTTATTGAAATGCAAGTTGATAAGACCCCTTTTCCCATGCACATGGTTGAAGCAGGGGCGTCCGTTGTTTTGATTCGTCCAGAGCAAGCCGATAAAGCCCAAGGCAAGAACATGATTATCGGTGAACCACGTGTAGCACCGAATGTCAAAACAAATTCGGGGCGCAAAGTGGTGCTTGAGAAGGATGATGAAGGCAAGAACAATTTGAAGATCACCGCTGGATCAACGCAATATTTAAAAAGGCAGCGGTGGTATGAAACAACGGTGGCACAGCAGAGGCCGGCTAGGCCAACTCCACCAGTTGGCCAAGCTGACTCCAATACACAGTAGGGCCAGTCAGCTCAACCAACTCAAGGAGTCAGCGTAGCTGACTCTGCCACCACCTCAGCCAAGTTAGCTGAGCCGACTGCGCTAGTCGGTTTAGCCAATTCTCCTGGTTCCAACAGCTCCGACACCTCCGGTGTTCGTGTTTTGCGTACATTTGTTCCACAACGATCGGAGATTGGCACCTGGAAGACAAATGAGAAGAAGAACCAGGGAGAGTTCATGAAGAAGCAATGCACATTTGACAGGCTCATGGCCAAGTATAAGCAACAAAAGGCCGATTCCCAGAATTGACCGTTTAAAAAAAGAGAGTCTACTCCGCCTACGTGGGAAGATGACAAGATCAAGCAATTAGCAGTGGTGCAACCAGTAGCTCCATCTCAGAGAGTTATTCCTCGTGTTTCTCGCTGGGGTCCCCCGATTCCGCCTCCGGTTACACCGCAATGGGGTCCTTATGGAGTTTGGGTGCCGTATCCTCTGACAGCACCCGTGCATAGCCAACAAAGGTGGGGAGATCCTGCTGGTTCAATTTCAAGACCCTCCGTCTTTAGTCGATTGAACAATTGTCAATCGAGCTCTAGCGGTACAAGTCAAGATCATGTGATTACCTCTAGGACTTTGACTCTACAAGAGTCGGGAAAGGCACCAATGCAGCAAGTTTATGTGCCTAAGAAGGTTGAGATTCCTGTCATTCCCCCACCAAGAGCTAGGCCTCAATCAGTTATCACAATTGGCTCCATGGAAGCTCCCATCACTAATCATGATGGGCCGATTGTAATCGAAGAAATTCCGGCATCTAAGCAAGATGAAGCTCCTAAAGATGTTTTTGGAATTGAAGAGAAGAAACGCGTCGAAGGAGATTCCAAGTACCGGCAACCCGTATGGTGTCCTCGTGGGTTGAATAAAACTCAACGGTGCAAATTGCAGCGTGCTCGACATAAGCAATAGAAGAGGGAGAAGCTTGCCAAGATGGAGAATGAAATCCTCAACCCCGTACATGTCGAAATCCCTCCGGAAGGTCAAAACGCCGCTACTGCTGCTAGCCAGTCAGCTAAGTCGACTCTAGAGTCGGCTAAGCGGACTCCTATGTTGAGCTAGTCAGCTAAGCTGACTCTGGAGTCGGCTAATCCAACTTTGTTTGCCCTTACTGCTTTGGAAGCTCTAGAGTCAGCTAAGTCGACTTCCGAGTGAGCTGAGCTGACTCCTGCAATCCCGGGTGCCTCTGAGGTGTCCTCTGATGATTTCGCTGCTACCGTTGCTGCTCTGGTTGGCATGGAGGTTCCTAAGGTTCCTGTCCAGGAGATGGTTGACTATGAGGCTACTCCAGAGAGAGTGGAGGTCAATGTAGTTGTTTTATCTACTGATTACTACATCGTGGCAGATGACTCCACGGCGGTAGAATTTAATTTTGCAACGGAAAGCGCTGTATTTCAGAAACCAAATGACTCCATCAACCATCTCAAGCCTCTACATGTGAAGGGCCATATCAATGGCACACCGGTCCATAGCATGTTAGTGGATAGTGGGGCGATAGTGAACTTGATGCCGTATCCGCTTTACAAGAAGCTCGGTGGCACTGATGAGGAGCTGATCAAGACCAACATGACAATCAGCGGTGTCGAAGGAGGTGCTCCTATTCCGGCCAGAGGAGTTGCTAACATGGAGCTCACCATTGGAAGCAAGACTTTGGCCATGGCATTCTTCGTCGCCGACATGCAAGGTAGCTATAACTTGATGCTTGGGCGTGATTGGATCCATGCCAATCGTTGCGTGCCATCTAGCTTGCACCAATTTCTCATCCAATGGGTGGGAGATGCTGTTAAGGTCGTGCATTCAGATTCATCGACTGATGTTGCTGCAGCCGATGCTCCTACACGAAGCTCTATTATTCGGGTTGATCATGTTGCAGTCTATGGAAGTAAAACATGTTGAAGCTTATGGTGATTCTTTGCTGGTAGTACAACAAGTTGCTGGTGAATTTCAATGTTTAGAAGGATCACTAAGAGCTTGTCTTGACGCTTGCCTTGATGTTATTGATTATTTTGTCGAATTTCAAATTTGGCATATTCCGAGGCATGAAAATCAAAAGGCCAACATGTTAGCTCAACAATCATCTGGCTATGATGTCAGTGGACATAATTTCTATATTCAAGAACAGTCAATGCATGAAGATTTCAATTTTTCCTGTGTAGGTACAGACCAATCGGCTAAGCCGACTGACCAAGTCGGCTCAGCTGACTACTCTTCTGCTGTGGCCAAGTTGGCTAAGCCAACTGCCCTAGTCGGCCAAGCCGACACCTTCAAATCGGCTAAGCCTACCGACTCAGTTGGCTCAGTCGACTCCCTGTGACTAGCACGGTCAATTCGCCCGAGAAGCTATCAAATCGGTCCGATACAACTTCCAGTGATGTTGGGGCCGATTTAGAAGATTGGAGGACTCCCTTGTTGAGATATCTACGTGATCCAAGTGCCAAAATTGATAAAAGTGTTCGGCGGAGCGCTTTCAAATATGTATTGCATAATGATGAGCTCTATCGAAGAACCGCCGAAGATTTGCTACTTAAGTGCTTGGGATCAGATCAGGCAAGAGTGGCTATGGGAGAAGTCCATGAAGGCATCTATGGTATGCATCAATCGGCCCCAAAGATGAAGTGGTTATTGCATAAAGCCGGTTTCTATTGGCCTACTATGATGGCCAATTGTTTTTGCTATTACAAAGGTTGCGAAGAGTGCCAGAAGTTTGGAAATATTCAACTTGTGCCTGCTGTTGTGCTTCATCCTATCATCAAACCATGGCCTTTTCATGGTTGGGGGCTAGACCTCATTGGCCAAATATATCCCCCATCTTTGAAGGGACACCGATTTGTGTTAGTTGCTACGGATTACTTTACTAAGTGGACCAAGGGAGTTCCTTTGAAGAATATGACACACAAGGAAGTAATTGAGTTCATCACTGAGCATATTATTCATAGATTCGGCATCCCTCAAACATTAACTACAAATCAAGGGACATCGTTTGTGTCTAAAGAGGTGAGGGAATTTACCGAATTATATAAGATCAAGTTGCTCAATTCATCTCCATACTATGCTCAAGCCAATGGCCAAGCCGAGTCTTGTAATAAGACTTTGATCAAGCTCATCAAAAAGAAAATTGAGGAGAATCCAAGGAGATGGCATGAAGTTTTGTCTGAGGCTCTATGGGCACATCGCATTTCAAGGCATGGTGCTACAAAGGTTACTCCTTTTGAGTCAGTATATGGCTAAGAGGCCATGTTGCCTGTCGAAGTGAATTTGGATGCATACAGGCTTGCTAAACAAAATGATTTATCAGCTATTCTGTATCATGATTTGATGATGGATAATATCGATGAGGTGACTGATGTGAGATTAAAAGCTCTCAAGGAAATAGAGAAAGATAAAGCTTGAGTTGCCAAAGCATACAACAAGAAAGTCGGGAGCAAATCCTTTCAAGTGAGAGAATTGGTGTGGAAAACCATACTACCAATTGGATCGAAGAGCAATCAGTTTGGCAAGTGGTCACCGAATTAGGAAGGTGCTTACAAAGTGGTCAAAGTTATATTCGGAAATTCATATGTGCTAGAGACATTGCAAGGTGAACGTCTCACGAGAGCATTCAATGGGAGGTACTTGAAAGGGTACTTTCCAAGTGTTTGGTAAGAAGCCTAAGTGCTCTCCAAATAATGGCCGATACATGTATCACCTTGAGAAAAAATGGCCGATGTATACATTGCCCTTAGTCACTAAGCAGCCGGTGAGATGGGTATCGTCGCTGTTTGGTTTTGAATAAGTGTTTTCAGGTTTATGCATCATTCACCTAAAAACAGGGGCATATGTTGACAACCAAAAATGTCTATTTTGTGAAGTTGTCAAAATATGAAATGGACTTCACCATTGTGTTCCTCTCATTGAGACGATCAAAAAACATATATGGAACGTCTAATTCGAAGTCCGGATGAAGAAGTTTTGCACTCGGAAAGATGCCTCGTTGTCAGGAGTTCCGACCCAAGTCGGGACTTTTCGACTGTCGGAAGTTCCGACGTGTGTCAGGACTTCCGGGAAGCCTGAAGAAATCCGCTCAGGTGTCTGGGGTCATCCCTACATCGGGAGTTCTGACAAAAGTCGGAAGTTCCGACTGTCGGGAGTTCCGACATAAGTCGGGACTTCCGACATACCTAACAGAAAATCCTGTTTGGATTTGGCTTTTTGGATTCCGATCCGAACTGTTCCAAACTCGTGGGAAACTTGGAAAATAAGGCTTTGAAAGGTTTCCTACTGGGATAAGATCACCCCCTCTATATATATGAGAGCATCATGGCTGATTGAGTTCCCATCTATCCAATCGTCATACAAACCAATCTATCCACTCCTTATGCCATAATTCCCCTCTCTCAACCCCTCTTGCTGTTCGTTGAGTTTCCCGACGAGATTCAGCGGCATCTTAGGTGGCCTTGCTGTGTCCTAGGAGATCCTCCACGTGCTCCTCCCTGATGGGTCTTTCTGGGAGAAGTTCGAGAGCTTTTCCAGCCAAGAACAGGCTCTACATTGGTCTCATCGGTCTTTAGATTGGTTTGATCGATTACGCCGCGTTCTTGTTGCATTGCAGGTTGTGTGCAACCTCTTTGGGCGTCCAAGGCCCTGCGGGTGTGTTGGTTTGGGGTCATCCTCAACATCAACAGGAGGTAACCTGAGAGCAGAGGCAGGTGTTTGCAGGCTTTGTAGCTCTGATTCCCTGAAGGCCTGAGCAGGGAACGAGATAGCTGCCAAGTGCCAACAGACGAAAGCATGTTGCTACCTACTGAATTTGGGCCGATCTAGACTCCGACCGTTTTGCTGAAAAGGACGAGGTGAAAAGTATTGTTCGCTGATTTGTTGTGAGAAAAAAATATTATTCCTTCGCTAAAAAAGTACGACTGATAAGCCATGTCAGAGCATGGAAAGCCTGGCATACTAGCGGTGGACAAAATAGCACCAGAATCATTTAAATGAACTGAACCGAACCAGTTTAACCAAAACAAATTGATTAATAAATATTTTTCAGTCTGTTTAGTTAAGACTTCTGCGTGATTTGGTGATCGGTGATTTATTCTGTTATTATGTGGCATTAACCGATTTAATCAAATTTCTTTGTTATACTATTACATTAAACACCAAAACTATGTCTATTTGCATATTTAAATGTATCTATATGTGGCTTTATTTGTTACAATCATTCTTTCTTACCTTTTCTTTTCTTTTTGATGCATTTCTTGTTGGGTGGTTTCATATGCAAATGTGTTGTTGCATTGTCTCCTGTAGAACAATACTCACCACCCTATACCAAAATAGATGACCTTATAGTCTGGCATGGGAATTAAGAAGTAAAAAAAAATACCGTGCACAAAAAGCAAGAAGAAGAGAGATAGTGTGGCAAAACCGCCTAATATAATGCCTTACAGGAGTACTTGTCTTCCATTAGACACTAAGTACTCAAGAGAGGACACTAAACTATGTAGTTCTGTCAAGCACACCTCAAGGGAGAACTTAAAAATCCATATTTTTCCATTAGGACCATAAATGAGAGAATAAAGCTTACAACATTCTGAAGTCATCTCTTACATCACTTTATTACAGTAGTAGAACATTACCTCAATTGATTATAACAGCAGAATATAACAATGTTATCAGAGTTACAGAGAAAGCAGGATTAATTTAATGACATGGTGGAGCATTAACATAGTGGACATTTTTATACAAGAGATGCTAGCATATTTTACATCTTTTCTTATAAAAACCTTTAGTGAGGGTTATAAATAAACACTACGGTCGTAGCATGAAATGAATCCTCTCTAAGCCCACCAGGACGTTTCCACACACAAGAGTCAGCTCTAGGTATCCTCCGATCACTTGCAACAGGGGGAATAAAACCCTGAGTACTCGATTGTACTCAG